TCACAATACACCCAATAATGATGAGGAATCAACCACCACAACAACAACAACAACACTTCCTCCTGAACTCACAAACAACAAGAAGGGTGATGCAGACAGCAGCAGCAGTATCAGCAGTTCTGTGTGGGTGCGTGTACCACTACTGATTGTGGTTACACTGGCCTGCATTCTTGTGTGCTGATTGTAATGGTGGTGATGGTGTGACTCAGGTCATCCTTTGTTTTCTTTTTCTTTTTTGTATGCATCCCTACAGTCTAACTAATCTTCCACCTGTTGGTAATTTTTTTGCTTATTAATGTTAATGTGTTTTGTGTGTTTTTTTGCTCTCTCTGTGTTTATCCTATAATTATTATTGCTGCTACTCCATTGTGTTTTATTGGACACTCACTCTGTGTGTGCTTGGGCTTGCACTGTAATGATGATAATGAGGATGAACTGTTTTTTGCAGTGAAAAAAAAGAAATAATAATAACAGATGAATTTATATTTATAATTGCGTATACACACATATAGACTTATACCCATAGTTGGTGTATATTTCTGTGTTTACTGGGTAAATTGGGCTAATGGTTAATAACTTTTTCTTTGCTTGATGATTTTGCAGGGTCACTGAACCTTTTTTGAAATATTTCTGAGTGTGGGCGTTTTTGTTTTTGTTTTTACTCTTACTAAGGTTATTGTGCTGTATTGCATTCTTTAGCTGGTAGGTTTTTCTTTTGTGATGTGCGCTTCCATAGTGGTAATCGTTTTGTGTGTCCTAACATGTTTGATACTTCATTTATTTTCTTTTTTGCTTTTTTGATTGTCTTTCTTTCTAGATCAGTGTTTTTACGCAAACCAAACTATTTTTTCTCTCATGATGATGATGATGCGCCGTGTGATGTGTGTGTTGGCCGCTGTGCTGTGCTGTGCCTGCGGGTATACCATGACTATTGGCGTGGCAGCCATTGACGGTTCAAGTAATAAGGATTTGCACGAAGCTGCTGATATTAGTTGGGATCAGTTTCCTGCTGTTACACCCGCTATAAGAAAGAAAAACGCAAATTACAAGGAATGTAGGGATGCCCCTAATCATACAGTTGAAGGAATAAACTGTGCGGAATGGGACGAATTTAAGCCGAAGCCTCCCATCCAACCCAACCCCACTGACACTCTGGCACATCCGACAGCAGAACTTGGACGAGAATCAACCAGGGTTGAACCAGGGCGCGTAAGTAAACCACCAGCAGCAGATTCACCTAGAGAAACCTCTGACAGAGAAGGATCTTCCACTGACGTTGTTTCTTCTGTAAATCCACCACAAGAGGCTGGGAATGCTGAAAGCACAACAGGAACAGGTGCAAAACCAACGCAAAGCCCACCTCATGAGTCTGCTGCAGCGCCACAAAGTAACAACGAAGAGTCGAATGCAGGAAACAGTGGTTCTGGCGCAGACTCAAAAGAAACAAATACCACTACTCCACAGAGCCCCGAGAGCAATGTCACTGATGCACCAACCACCACTCCATCTCCTGCACCTAACGCAGAGATCAGCAGCAACATCGTCTCCACTGTACAGAAGAACAAACCCATTGTTGACAGCAGTGTCAGTCCTGTGTGGATGCGCACTGCAGCACCGCTGCTGATTGTGGTTGTGTTGTTCTCCGCTACTGTGTACTGAACGGTGGGATTCACTTGAGGTCGAATAATAATAATGGTTAAACCAATATAATCATAATTGCGTACATCCCCCATGGGTGAATAAATTAATAATCTGTTTACCAGCATTATCTTTTAATTCGAGTTTTTTTTCTTTTATTTTTGTGTATGTGTGTGTTCTTTTTCTAATAATTCCATTACTTGCTTTTCCTGTTAAGTGTGTGTGTAGAAAACTGGGCTGTTCTGTTCACTGACGGAATACATTTCTTGCTAGTACACACAGATGTGTGTGTGGAGTAATTTAATACATAAACTAGAGCCATGGGGTATTGTGTGTGTGTTTGGCTCTCTCTATTATTTGGGTAATGTGGGGTGTTATCTTTTTTCTTTTTCTTTTTTTGTTTGTTAATGTTAATGTTTTTTTTGTGTGTTTTTGCTCTCTCTATATATATCCTATAATTATTATTGCTACTCCATTGTGTGTGTGTGTGTGTTCTTGGATACTCTCTGTGTGTGCTTGGGCTTGCACTGTGATGATGAACTGTTTTTTTGCAGTGAAAAGAAAAGAAATAATAATAACAGATGAATTTATTACTTATAATTGCCTATATACACACATATAGACTTACACCCATAGTTGGTGTATTTCTATGTGTTTACTGTGTAAATTGGGCTAATGGTTAATATTTCTTTCTTTGCTTATGGTTTGCTGGGTCATTGTGTGCTTTTGCCCTTCACGGTTTTTGGTAATCAGTTTTATAAGAGCAAAGGAACAAATAGTAGTTATTACAATTTGTATTCGTAATTACTTGAACAAACCGGCATACCCAGTGGTCTGTGAGTTATTTTTGTGTGATTCGTCCTGCTCTTAATTTGTGTTTTTGTTCACCTTTTCTTTGCTTGGCCACTGTGTGCTTTTTCCTGCATTGTTGTGTGTTAGAGTATTTTGTGGGGAGAAACAATAATAAAGAATTCATAAGTATATATTTGTAATTGTGCTTGGTCCTACAGGAAGAGGCATTTTGATTTTATTGCTCTGCTTTCTTCTTATGGTCGTTCTCTTTAATTTCTTTTTTTTGTTTTGAAGGGTTTATTGGGGTTATCTGTTTGTTATTGGGTACTGTGTGTTTTGTTCCTTTTATTTGGGCGATTATCTGAGTTATGGTTGCACGTTTTTTTTTATGTGTGTGCTTCTGCTTTAATTGTTGAGTGTTGTTTGATTTGGTAATGTGTTCTTATCTTGTGTTTTTTAACATTGATTTTCTTTGTTTCTGTTTTTTTATCTGTTTTTTATTTTTCTGTAAGCGATTGAAGTAAGACTACTACAAGAAGTATTGTAATGGTAATGATGCGCTACGTGCTGTGTATCCTCGCTCTCCTGCTCTCCTGTGCGTGTGTGCACGTCCTCGCTGAAGAAGTGCCTGCCGCCGATCTTTCCGACCAAGTCCCTGATACGGAGAGTGAGACAAAGATTGTTCTTCCAGATACTTCTGGTAAGAATTGCACTAATGGTGGTCCTCCGGATTCTTCTGGTAAATGTAATTCTCTTCTTGAGAAACCTGGACTTGGTGCTGATGGTTCTCCGTGCCGTCGTACTACTGATTCTTCTGCTGATTGTACTTCTCATGGTGTGAAAGCTAAACTTGAACCTGTTGCTTCGGAGTGCAATTCTGTTTCTTCTGGTAATCCTGGTACTTGTACTCCTCTTACTGTACAACAACCACCAGCAACATCTCCAGCACTACAACCAGTATTACCACCACCACCACAAGTAAAGCAAGAAGAAGTGCATCAAAAAGAAGATAAGGAACATTCAAAAGAGGCACCACATAATGATGAACACTCTGGTGTGCAAACAGCTGATAATCGTGTGAGCACAGAGAGTGAAAGTGACCCAGCAGGAAGTGAAGGCCGAGAGAATACGTCATCTACAGCAGGTAATGCAGACTCACAGAACCCACAACAAAACACAACAGAAGGACAGGCAACGACGTCATCAACTGAAGACACACCTTCATCTGGAGACGGTGATTCCAACAACACCAACCCACAAACTCAATCGGAAAGTGCAAATGAAGGTGGTGACAGCAATCCCAGTAATCAGACTACTACAGCTGCAGATGAGACTGGCACAGAAGGTTCACTGGAGAATGTCAATGCTGAATCATCAACTACGACCACCACCACAACAACAACACTTCCTCCTGAACTCACAAACAACAAGAAGGGTGATGCAGACAGCAGCAGCAGTATCAGCAGTTCTGTGTGGGTGCGTGTACCACTACTGATTGTGGTTACACTGGCCTGTATTCTTGTGTGCTGATTGTAATGGTGGTGGTGGTGTGACTCAAATCATCCTTTGTTTTCTTTTCTTTTTTGCATACATCCCTACAGTCTAACTAATCTTCCACCTGTCGGGGTTATCTTTTTTTGTTTATTAATGTTAATGTGTTTTGTGTGTTTTTGCTCTCTGTGTGTTTATCCTATAATTATTATTATTGCTACTTCATTGTGTGTGTGTGTGCCTGGGCTTGCACTGTGATAATGATAATGAACTGTTTTTTGTAGGGAGTGGGAAAATGAAATAATAATAACAGATGAATTAATATTTATAATTGCTTATACACACACATATATAGACTTAC